CATGCCGATTATCATACCAGGAGACATACCAACTATCCTCGCACCCACAGAAACGGCCAAATACCTTGGAGTATGGCTCGACAAGCACCTCAATTTTACAACACACCGGAAGAAGATGCTAGCGAAGGGAGCGAGCAGCCTTGAGGCACTCCGAGGCATCTCAGGTTCCACATGGGGGTCATCATTGATTGCCATGCGGAAGGTATACCAGGCAGTCATCATTCCACAGATGCTATGGGGGCTGTCTGCATGGTACTGTCCAGCTGCTAGAGCCATGCCAAGGGGCGATCTCGACAAGCTCACTAACGAACTAACAAAAATCCAAAAACGTGCGGCAATCCTGATCAGTGGAGCTTTCCGCGGAACGGCGGGAGCGGCACTCGATATTGAATTATTCATCACCCCGATCAAATTACGAATACAACAAATCATAGAGGAAACAGCCATACGGATCCTCACAGGACCACAGTGGGCATGTCCACAAATTGCATACAAAGCCAGAAAACCAACGGAACAACGACTTGGAGGCTGGTCGCCACTCGAAGCGCTGGCATTGAAGAAGCCATTACGCCTACAACCGACAGAACAATGGGAAAGGAAACGTGCATTTGTCCTTGCACCATGGGAGACAAGGATCCCATGCTTCATTGAGAATCAAGAAGCTGCATTGGAAACCTATAACAACATTTACGAAGAAGCAGTTTGCGACAAGCAAGATAAAACCGCCATGATTTTCACAGATGGGAGCGGTTTTGCTGGGCACATTGGCGCATCAATGGCCAGTCTCCAGCACGGAGTGAAGTCTCAGAGGAAATATCTTGGCAAAGACTCCCAGTCCACAGTGTACGCTGCCGAGCTCAGCGGCATTGAAATGGTGCTCAAGGAAGCGGCAGGGGGGAATAACGAGGACACAATTCCAAACAACGGGGAAATTCCAAATAACGGGGAACAACAGGCTCGAGAAGTGGTCATTTTCTCTGACAGCCAAGCTGCCATCCAGGCAGTCCAAAACCCACAGCGACCGTCTGGCCAATACGTGCTCGCACTGATATATGATCACGTACGGGCCATCCGGTCACGGAACCAAAACCAGCAAAATCCAACGAATATCACTATCAGGTGGATCCCTGCACACGTTGGTGTGGACGGCAATGAATTTGCCGATGCGGAAGCGAAGAGCGCAGCGCTTCTTGGTGCGGGGATGGGAGTTGCGACCGGGAGCGGAACGGGTGAACCGATAATCCGCCTCGCCGCAGCTGCTAAGAGAGCGGTTCGCCAGCGAATCAGAGAGCGGTGGGAGAAGCAGTGGGAGCGGGAGACAACTTCCGCACCCACAAAGCGCTTGGTGCAGGCGCCGAACAAGAAGACGCTCCGTCTATACGAGGGACTGTCGAAGCCACAATGTGCAATTTTGATTCAAACGCGCACAATGAGGATCGGGCTTCGACACTTCTTGTTCAAAATCAAGGCAGCGGAGACAGACCGGTGTAGTTGTGACGAAGGTTCACAGACACCGAAGCATGTTCTAATGCAGTGTCCACGACACATCATTCCGCGCACGAAACTGTGGGAGCAGCTGTGGGCAGTTGGTATCAAGGAAATGGATTATGACAAGATCGTGTCAAACCCGCAGGCCATCCGCTACGTGGTCAACTTCATGCACCGAACAGGTCTCCTCCAGCAGTTTCAACATATGGGACTCGAGGACGACGACGACGACGAACGAACAGGCCTCGCGGCCATGGAGCTAGGTGTGGAAGACGATGGGTATTAGCCAATGACGATAAATGATGCTGTGAAACGAGAAACTCAGCCAGAGTCGACGAACATGCCAATCAACAACTGGCCAGGAGAAAAACACCATCAATTGAAACTGAGGCAGGGGAGGTTACAGAGGATGGAAGGGAAGAGTGAGAGTGAGAAGTGAGAGATGGAAGATGGAGGGTGCACTCCATGGCGATCGTTATATATTTCTTATGTATGGGTTTTTGGGATTACAGGGTTATTGGGATGGATCTACAGGAATGGGCTGATTCCACGCTCTTTACGATCAGCATCTGTATACTCTTGGGAGTGATCCCAACTCGGCGTTTGGCTTCGAGTTCTTGCTTCAGTTGGATGAAGCGCCTGCATAGTCATACGCAACTAGTTAGACTGCAACAGGTTAATTGAACTTTGATTGATTGATTGATTGATTGATTGACGACAATGAATACCGTGATGGTCATGGACAATTCTGATAGACTTATTGTAGCGTTCGTTGCGCCCCTGTTGATACTGGTTTCCGCACATCATTGGGGGTCTTGTACGACGGGGTAGTGTTTTGACACACCCCACGACAAGAATGTGACTTGATCCGATCTCGGATATGGAACTCTCGATGGAATCCGTAGTCAACATCGACCACGAGAAAGAAGATGTGTCGGATGTTTCGTATCGAGTCTTTCCAATTGGATGTTTGCGATATTGGTATTAAATGCTTGTGAGTGAGGAGAATTTGATAGTTGTGGTATTGAAATCTGATGCCTGCGATTTAATTGAGCGATGTAACTGTGAATGCTCGAATAAGAGTCGTACTTACGGTATTGAATGCTTGCAAATGAGGAGAATTTGATAGTTGTGGTATTGAGATTTGATGCTAGTGATCGAATTGAGCGATGAAACGGTGAATGCTCAAATAAGAGTTGTACTTACGGTATTGAATGCTTGTGAGTGAAGAGAATTTGATAGTTGTGATATTGAAGTTTGATACTTGTGATTCAATTGAGAACCGATGAAAATGTGAATGCTCGAATGGGAATGGTTGCAGTATTAAATGTTTGCGAGAGAAGAGGGTTTGATAGTTGAGATATTGAGATTTGATGCTTGCGAATGAGGAGAATTTGATAGTTGTGGTATTGAGGTTTGATGCTTGTGATTCAATTGAGAACCGATGAAAATGTGAATGCTCGAATGGGAATGGTTGCAGTATTAAATGTTTGCGAGAGAAGAGGGTTTGATAGTTGAGATATTGAGATTTGATGCTTGCGAATGAGGAGAATTTGATGGTTGTGATATTGAGATTCGATGCCTGCGATTGAATTGAGCGACGAAACTGTGAATGCTCGAATAAGAGTTGTACTTACGGTATTGAATGCTTGCGAATGAGGAGGATTTGATAGCTGTGGTATTGAGGTTTGATGCTTGTGATTCAATTGAGAACCGATGAAAATGTGAATGCTCGAATGGGAATAGTTGCAGTATTAAATTTTTGTGAGAGAAGAGGGTTTGATAGTTGTGGTATTGAGATTTGATGCTTGTGATTTGATGCTTGTGATTTGATGCTTGTGATTTGATGCTTGTGATTTGATGCTTGTGATTTGATGCTTGTGATTTGATGTCTTTGATGATTGCAAGTGGAAAGGGGATTGATAGCTTCGATCGAGTTGGTTCGGTTTTGAGTGAATAGGATTGAATTTGCACTATTCAGTTGGGCCAGCCATGAAAGGCTATAGCCCAGGGACTATCCGAATTGGGGATCAGAATTTCGATTTCAACCTCACACTGGCCTGTGAGGTTGTGTCCGTCTTGACCACCGAATGGCCATAGTATGGTCGAGGACGTCCACTAGGCTTGGTTGTGTTCGAGTTGAACTTTCAAGATGCTCCATCTCCCATGTCAAAACATTGATTTCAAACTCACACTGGCCTGTGAGTTGCACCATTGTTGATCACATATATTCGTGTCGAGACAATTCAGGAGATGGAGCGCCGCGGAAAATGTAGCCGATGATGATAGAAATGCGATTGAACTTTCTTTATGTTTCGCATTCAAGCCCACCAACTCCCATGTGCCTCTCTTGGAGACGAGGAAATGGCCACAAAATTGGTAGCATATTCCACTGGAACGTGCTAGGGAAGTCTGTTGATGTTGAATATTAAGATAGAACGGGGTGGGAAGTTAAAGGAAAGCTTACTTTGCAAAAAGGCGCAGACTCTGCGACTTTGATATGTCGGAAACGCTCTCCAGATGCATGAGATGCAGTAGTGGCCGCGCTTCTTCTTTGTCCGGGTTCATCATCCGACCTTCCTCATTACCATATCCCTTATCCAACATGCAATTTGCACAGCCAACCTCCTCCCCTTGGTGACCCTCTTTGTTGACGACCCTCATTGCCAACCAAGCACACCGATTCCTGAGCCAGACTTACCAGAACCCCCGACCTGCTCCATGTCACGACCTCCACCGCGTATCAATCACAGTGATTATGGGGCCGGTGTCAATAGATCCCTCACCCTCCTCCGAGTCATGACCCTTAATCAGTGCAGTTTCCCACTGATTCCGCACTCATACCAGTATCCCCGGCACCTCTCACCCTCATCATAACAAACCCATCCACGATCATATAATGCGGGGCCCCTATCAGCCCAGAACCATGTTGCATTGCGTCTGTTCAGAATGCCATTGGCCGAGAGGGCGCATGAATTGCCACTCCGATAAGTCCACAGCCATTGAAGCTATATCGTCTATCAATACCCTTGTCACGATTCGAAGAAAGTCTCCGGTCAATGAACCGCCAAGTCGAGTGGGGCCAGCCACTGGACTCGGGATATCAATGACCGGAATGAGAGGAATCGACGAGGATCTCTCAATAACGGACAGTGTAGCGACAAGAGCTCAATTTCCACAACAAGCTCATTCATGATTCTCATTTGTATTTGCAAATGTTGAATTTGAAGTGGCCCCATATGAAGGCCCTGGCATGCCGTCATTGAGGGTAATAATACCGCATACGAAATGTCCGGGACCAGAGCGGTGGCTGACAGCAAGGACAGAGAAGCGGCTCAGTTCTCGTCACAGGACCAGCTGTGAGAACAACGGGATTGAGGATGGATTTCGACAAGATCGGCCCATCTTTTGAACAGTCACGTGGGATTTCTTTTTTTTTTTTTTAAGAGCTGGATGAAGGCCGTTGCGGCATTGCCAATCCTCATGCTTTTTCCTGGTTGCCGTGAAGGGGGCTATGAAGCTCCTACCGACACTGTGGGCTTCTGATGCTGTAGGTCTCTGTCGACGCTGAAGGCATCTGTCGATACTGCATGTGTGTGTCGCTGCAAACCCTTGTCGACGCTGCAGGCCTCTATCAATGCTGAAGGCTCCTGTCGACGCTGCAGGTCTCTGTTGACACTGAAGGCTCCCGTCAATCCTGAAGGCTCCCGTTGATGCTGAAGGCCCCCGTCGACGCCGTAGGCCTCCGTTGACGCCGAAGGCCCCCGTTGACGCTGCAGGTCTCTGTTGACGCTGAAGCCCGTCGACGCCGTAGGCCTCCGTTGACGCCGAAGGCCCCCGTTGACGCTGCAGGTCTCTGTTGACGCTGAAGCCCGTCTATGCTGAAGGCCCCCGTCGACGCTGCAGGCCTCTGTTGACGCTGAAGCCCGTTGACGCTGCAGGTCTCTGTTGACGCTGAAGGCCCCCGTCGATGCTGAAGGCCCCCGTCGATGCTGAAGGCCCCCGTCGACGCTGAACCCTTTTTCGGTGACCACCGGGGAGACCGATCTGCGAAGGCGGGATTCAAACTCCACGCTATAATCTTCGCTCACAGTGAGTATATAGGAGCTATTCTGATGATCAAAAGGTGCTCACCTCTGAAACTCCCATGTGCCTCCTCTGGCAACTTTCTCATTTTTTGCGCCCTGGATGTGCTTTCCTCTCGTCAACATATCCCTTCAACCATGATCTGCCACCGTTGCACCCATCACACCCAGAGGGGCCAGGACGTTCAGCTGTTGAAACATAGCACCGCAACCCCCATTCATCGAAACTACCAACATATATACCCTTCGTCCCTTTTCCCTTCAACAGTCAAGCCATTTCTTCATCCGTGTTTACCTTCTCCTTCTCCTTTAGGGCCGCCCTTCTCTTTCTCTTATTCGCCGCAGCCATTTCGTTACTTCTCTTCTTCGCATCTGGGTCCTCCATTCGCTTTTTGTACGCATCCCTCCCCTTCTGTCTTAACATGTCCTTCTTCTCTGGGTCCTCCATTTGCTCTTTCCTCCGCACCCTCCGCCTCTCGGCATCCTTCTTCCTCTTTTCTGGGTCCGCCCTTCTCTTTGCCGTCCGCTCCATCCTCTTCTCGTCATACATCTTCTTCTTCTCTGGGTCCTCCATTTGCTCTCTGTATCGCTTCCTCCGCCTCTCGTTTTGTAGTTCCTTCGCATCTGGCTCTATCGGCATCTTGGATTTCGCCTCGTTTCTTATTGTCCACGCACACGGGTTACACAAAATGCAGCACGAATCTCTGACGCTTAGATGGCGATCCGATCCATCGATTGCGCCGCATCGATCACATCTGAATTCGTACCCACTCTTGGGATCTTCTCGGCTCCATTTCAACTTTCCCATCAACAGACACCAGGTCATTCTCTTCTCTATCTCCTCTTCATTTGGCAGCCTCCCATTCCTTATGCTGAAACGATGACACCAGGAGCAGCGATAACCACCCAGTGGGTCACCGGGGTATTCGCAAAACCGGTGGAATTGGATATGAAAGCTCTCTTCAGTACCTTCCATCATCATCCTGTCTTTGTGAGATCCAGTCATCATCCCACAGTGAACACAGGGTGACATCTCGTTAGCACCTTTGTTGTAGAACCCTTGCAACAAAGGGAACGCCAAGTTCAACCCCAAAGTGTTTTTCCCCCAAGGAATACTAATTCTCTCTCGGATAACCTGAATAAGGGACCAAACGCAGGGTCTAACATATCGATGAGAGAACATCGGCTTCTCTAGACTCCCCAGCAAGATAATGAACAACCCTTCCAGAAGATTGAGATACCCTCGTTGGATAGGAGTATTGAAAGCGGCCAGAACCCGAGCGTACGCTTTCTTTCCTTGCCCAAGTTTCTTGTACAGCAGTGACCTCCGATTCCTTAACCATGTTCCCGGTTTCCTGTGTGTTCCAACTCGAACCCGAATTTCTATAGTCGATCCCACGTATATTGCGAGAATGAGATCACCTTCTTTGGTTTCTTCCTCCACCACAATAAACACATATATTCCCGTCCGGCCTTCCGTCTCCGCATTAGGCAACGCAAGCCAATCCTCCAGAGTGATCAGATCCTTCTCAAACAAATTTTGTACCACCTGGGGAATTGCGTCCATCAACCGCTGCGTGATCAAGTCAGCATCGATGCAATTCAACAGGTGCCAGTAGGCTAGACACAAAGGCCTTTCGTCCATATTCAAACTGTTCAAGTTGGTGTCTCTGCTATATTCTTGTAGACATTGAATTGCAGCTCGCATTTTCAGCCGTAGTCGATCACTGATAATCTCGTCGTCAATCTCCGGATCATCCTGGCTGTCAGGGATGACAATCTCCGGATCATCCTGGCTATCAGGGATCACAATCTCCTCACGGACGATATCCACGTCTTCGCCCTCCGGTCCACTCACGACGTCTTCCAACGCATCTCCAATCTCCTCAACCCTAACTTGGTCCTGCAAATCCTCCTTGGTGTTTTCGTCATCATCCAGCATATCATCATCGTCCAGCATATCATCCTCATCCATATCATCATCGCTGTAGTTGCCCATATTGATCCCTGGTCCACCTATACCGCTCTTCCCTGTATTCCTCCCAACCATCTCTGGGTTATGACCTTTATCATCGCCGTGGTTACCCACATTGACTTCAGAATCACAATTGCCAGAACCCCCCTTCTCTGGGTCATGACCTTTATCATCGCCGTGGTTGCCCACATTGACTTCAGAATCAGACTTGCCAGAACCCCTCCACTCTGGGTCATGACCTTTATCATCGCCGTGGTTGCCCACATTGACTTCAGAATCAAATTCACCAGATCGAGCCATACCATTCCTCCTCTCCTTCTCTCTGATTTCCTCCTCCTCCTCCACTTCACCAATATAGTAGTTGATCCCCCCCAAGGGGGGGGGCGCGCAGCGAACGAGACATCGTGTATAAGGAACTAAAACTTTGAAACCTTGTTAGTATGATCAACCACAAGCAAGAATCAGATGAAAACACTCAACAAATTGATTGATTTTTGATTGAATCGATCGTTACAGAGGAACACTACTTGCGTACTTACTCAATGGCATTACCCATTTGAGAGTGGGTCCCGTGCCCAGCCCTACCCGTGAGGGGACTTGCCGACTACACCCTACAAATTACTGTATAGGGATACAATTGTATTACATTGAGATGGAAATGAACTAGAATTAACTTGAAATGACATATAAATAATGTTAAAGTAAGATCAAACATGTTCGCAAGTAAAGGCATACAACATCCCATGTCTGAAGCCTGTTCTAGTATCAAGTCGTGAGTGTGTCTGCCCAGTGTGTCTGCCCATCCGAGCTTAGAAGAAGCATTTAAGATAGTAGAATGACATTAAACTGAAAATGATCTGTGTCTTGAATAAAATAAATTTAAGTGAATGCCATTGAAGTCTTGCCTCGAAAGGGGTTTACTCCATGCGTTAGGTTATGTAGCATGACTAGCCGACTTTTATGCCATTGAATATTGTTAACGAGAAATCAGGGTAACTCGACCTCGATAAAAGTATACTAGTAATAATCACTCTTAGAAGGTACTGTGATAGGAATCTGTGGGATAAGATTGGCTTGTTTATCCTCACCTATAAGATTTCTATTTATTTATACACTAACCACTTACAACCAAGCTTTTCTGAATGATTAGAACTAAGGCGTATATACATTCTTGTTGATGGGATGAACTCATATTAGGAATATATCAAATATCTAGGATATCATGGTCTTTGGTTAACCGGCATAATTGAGAGTTGATAATGCGAGCATACTTTACTCGAAACACATCCGTCGATGCATGTTTGATTTTATATGTTTAGATTTAGATTTACGGAGCTATACTCATGCAGAAAAATATAAAGATTGTGAAAAGAAAATATTAATGTATAGATAAAGGTGATTGCTTTTTGTAAAAGTCCATTATAGCATGTAATGTAGTCCTCTCGGATTCGTATCCATGTTTCAGACAAGGTTGACACAAAACCCACATTCCGGGTACCTACAGTAGATCGGCGAATCGGCATCTTTGTGACGTCCGTGCATGTACAACCCGAGGACCTATCATGACGCAACCGCGGTATGATCGCCTTAGAAGCTTGACCAAGAAAAAGTATGTGCGACTGACGGGTTAAGCAGGTTTATGGTACGGTTGTACTTTAAGTCCAATGGTGTCTCCAATTAGGGCAGTCATTGGCAATTTTTGTTTTCAAGTGCGGTCCGACCGTACAGTTCTACTGTAGAAATATCTGTACGGCCCTCCATGTAGAATATATATAACTCCAATTAACATTAACGATAAAAGTCAGATCAATGTTGAAAGGATGCACTTTATTGACCATCTATATTAGACTTATCTCTAGCGGAAGAAATGCTGTGAACGTACCTGTATGTATAAGAGCCACCGGGCTGAAAAAGAAAATGCCAAAAAGAAAAGAAAAGAAAAGGTCGTACCCGGGTTCGAACCGGGGTTGCGGGTAATTTTTTGTCACGTGACTTCAAAAACCCGAGTCATCACCACTAAACCATACGACCCGGATTCAAGATTCAAGATACCTATTTCTTACATCGTCTGTTTTGTTTGTCTCCTGTTTTGATCACACTCCTCATTAGTACCTACATGCAGGTATACCTAGGAAGGTTCCTATCAATGACCAATCTAGTCCATATCCATAGTAGAAAACAATGCTTCGCATGGGAAATTTTGTTCACAGAACATCCCGCTAATGTCAAGCCTTACAAAAATCGCCTATATATCGATAATTTTGCTAAGTTATCTAAATTATTTACAGGTTTTTTATACGTAGTAAACTATAGCCAACCACCGGTGCTAATTTCTGTCTTATTCTCTTTTACCTCAGGCGTAGTGTAGATGTGTAGATAAAAGGTCCTTCTCTCTCTTTCTAGAGCCCTAAAAAGGCGGTAACGGGGTGTTAAAGTGGTGTCACTGTATCTGCTTCAGTTGCCTCCAGATTGAATCTAGTGCATCCTGTGATAATGCTTTAAAAGATCAAATAAAACCACGGTTCTATGGTCTAGAGGTTAGGACTCTGGTTTTTGATTTACTTTAGTAAAAAAAATTACCAGCAGCCCCGGTTCGAACCCGGGTAGGACCTATCCTATTTTTCTCCTTTAAGGGGACCGAATCCCCGGACTAATATTATAGAATAATTTCTATATTCTTCCTTTTTTAAGGTAGCCTTAGAAGCAAAGGCTAGCTAGGAAGGAGGATTTACCTAACTAACTAAATAATAGACGCTAGAACGAATTATTTTTAGATTTAAAAGACTAAAAGAAAAAAAAAATTTAATAGAACAGGTCCTACCCGGGTTCGAACCGGGGCTGCTGGTAATTTTTTTTACTAGGTAAATCAAAAACCAGAGTCCTAACCTCTAGACCATAGAACCGTGGCTTTATTTGAAGACTTATCTGATCGTATACATGTATAAGGTACCTACATAATTAGGACTAGATTTTGCGTATTTCACATGCGAGCCGCCACCACAAGCGAGCCGCCATCTCCAAAACACATAGTAAATGCGATAGATTACAACTTGATATCTCAACAACGGTGGTCTATACTAGCTTTTCCTATTAATTCCACGGTTTTTATATGATATCTAGCTACTTTAGGGAGTTTTAAAGAGTTTGATCTTCTAGTAACTGACATATATATATTTCTGGAGCCCAGCGACGTAATTTTCAATACGACAACAATGTAAGCTTTCGATTTCGTTAAAATTGCTATATGTTACTGAAAATGCTTATCAATACCTATCTACCTATAGCGGGAATTAAATTAAGTTGTTGTGGTTGAAACATGAAGCTATAATTTGTCGCATTTACTATGTGTTTTGGAGATGGCGGCTCGCTTGTGGTGGCGGCTCGCATGTGAAATACGTTACTAAATGTTGTTATATAAGCTAAGACGGAAGAACGAGGTCTCGTATCTTTATGATATAGTCCTAGATTAATAGATGTTAATAAAATACGAGTTATTATAGAACATCTTAGTCGCCTAAATAACTCAAATCAGATATGTAGTAACTGATATATAATTAGTTTGTCAGCACAATTTCGGGTGCTTAGTGAAAATCATCATTTGATACTATTATGAAGAAAGAAAGAAAGAGAAGTGACGAGCGGCAATCCAGAAGTGAGGAATTGATAGAGATACCCGGAATTCATCAAGATCGTATAACAACTTACCGGTTATAACTTTAACTCCAATTCGAACACGTTAACTTCTTCGAATACCTATAATAACGATAAAATGGATCTCTCCGTCAATACAATTCGACTTAGTTCTCTTAACCCAGAACTAGTTGCTCTCAAATCTGGATACAGTGATACAGTATCACTTCGGCACAACCCACTCTAACCCGGACCCAACCCAACCCAACCCAACCCAACCCAACCCAAAATGGGTTTTGGGTCCATTGCTTCGACCCAACGATGGGTAACCCATTGGGGCCCCAATATAGTGCAAACTAAACAAACTATATTTTTATACGCTTAAAATTCTAAAATTTAAATATATATATAAAGAGTATAGCAATTTAATTAAAAAACCAAAACAAATATAAGTAAAAAAGTATTTTATACTACTAAAAAAGTATCTTCAAAAATGCCAAGACTTATATTTTATGTATTTTTATGTAAAAATGGGTTGGGTTTTGGGTCGGAGCCTCCGACCCAAAATGGGTTCTGCCGAAGTCTAGTGATACTTTCGACTACAATACTACTATTACCAATCTTCAAGCATCTAGGGACTAGATGGATTTTTTCGTGGGGGTTATATCACGATCTGTATATTATCAGATGCTAGAGATCGTTTGTTTGCTTTATTTCCTTTGTTCTTCGAAGTGCTACTATTCCTAATTGGGAAAGGGGTTTGTTTGTATTGTGGGATAGCTCTGCTATAAGATCCCTAGGATTCACCACTTGCTCTCTCTCCTTCTCCCCATCTTTGCTTTTCTAGTTTGAATGCACTCTTTCTTGTTGATTGACCTAGCAAGTAACATATATCACTAATTCCTATATATAATAGCCGCTATATTATATCGTAGTTAGACTGCATTTAGTCAATATAATTTAGGAGAGCCTAGTACTCTATACTGTTACCACTAGTTCACTTTTATCTGTTCTATTACAAATTCATATTTATTCTAGATCAAAACGGCCATGTTAGGATCGTAGAAAGAATCCGAGGAACACACTCTCGATTAGCCAACAGTCACAGTGTGCCACATTTATAAATCATCAATCTACGCATCTTCGCTCTTTTTCAAAATGGCCATGCTAGGATCGTGGAAGGAATCCGAAGAGCACACAATCACAGTGTGTCATGTCTATGAATCAACAAAATGGACACGGCAGCTTCTTTTCGTCCAAACCGGACAGGACGAGCCAATTACTTTATGTCCAGCCCATGTGGCTTACCCCCGTACCAGAGCGCCAGTGACAGCGATGGCGGTCGCCGTGGTGGAGTCGGTGGCCGTGGCAGTGGCGAGCGAGAACCGCTACGAAGATATCAAGCTAAAGGATGGTGACGACGACCTCACTATTTCTGTCACTATGTCCGAAGAGGGCCTGCAGGATAATGCCGAGCTTCCGAAGCGTGTCGAAGACGGTGCGATTGAACGCGCTTAGAGCGAGAATGGCGAAGCCACCGTGCAGTTTGTTGAACAAGATAACTGCGTCAAATTCCTGAATTCTCATTATCCTCTGATAATCTCGCTAACTGCCTGCATCGACCACGTACTATAGCAGTCTCTAACCGCCAATGCTTTGCCTACAGTATATATTGTAATATGAATATTTATAAGGAAGAAATATCTAAACAAAAGACCACTAAAAAGACCACTAAAAAGACCACTAAAAAGACTGATAAAAATACTACTAAAAAGGACATTATACGGTCTTATAGACGGCCTACTATTCTTATAACTATATACTTTATATTCTTAATACTTGATTTCTTTTATACTTAAATTCTATATTAAACTTTATACCTAAATTCTCTATACATATTCAAATTCTTAATAATAGAGAATCAAAAGAAGACGCCGGATAAGCAGTGATAGCACTAAATACTATCCTAGATTCGTATAGTTCGCAGCGGTATAAGGTTAGGGTTAGGCTTGATCTATTTTTAAGGGTAAAATCGAGGAAACCGGTAGCCCGGGGGCACGTTTGATGATATGATTAGGAAAAAAAATAAAAAAATACATCAGTATATTTATAAATAAAACTTCGCATCATCATCATCATCGTCATTTTCTTCTTCCTTTTTAAAAAAGGGTGACGTCTCCCGCCCTTCTAGTGAAGGAGATGGCGGCAGCGGAGTTAGTCGGGGTCGGGGGGTAAGGGCAGGTTCTCACCGGACGTAGTCCGGGGGTATTATTGGAATTTGCGGGCGGGCCCTTACGGGCGCTGTTGTTACCGGAGACGGAGCGAGCTAGCCCACGGCTCGCCTGTTAAAGCTTGTCGATTGGCCCACCGTGACGTAGCGAGTCCACGGTGGGAGGGGCCTGGAGGGATATTGGTAGGCAGGCCCCGTTTGTTCAAATCGGCCGCGCGGGAATCATGTTGGCAGGAGGGTTGGTAGGATGGGCCCCGGCGGGGTTGGGGAAAGCGGGGGCGGGACTCTTCCTGGCGGGGGCGTGGCGGGGTCCTCTCACGCGGTGGAGCTTGGCGTTCCCGGGGAGAAGCTGACCGGCGGCGATTTAACTCGAAAGCCGTATCAAGCCCTCCCGTGATAAACCGCAAGTAATCTCGGCGGTGGCATCAAATCGTGCCAACATGGTTGAGCACGTGCATTTTTAGTATTAATTTCAGTCAATGATGATGAGAGAACTGTCTATATAGAATCGAAATCTTCGGTATTAGCATGGGAGACTCCCTAGAAGTATAGTTAGTGGATAGCTTCATAGTTTTGACCCCGCGGTGTCAACGAACCCTTTGGGGAGCTCGAATCTTATGACGAGCCCTCATTGCTACTATCTTGACGGCCACAGTAAACCAAGAGAAAGTGAGTAAATAGAAAACTCAAGAGAAAAAAAAAGGTGGAGAACTACGCTCTTCTCTCCGCATTTTTCATCGACATTGGCGTTCCTAGCATCTAGGAATATCTTCATCTCTTCAAAGGGATCCTCATCTCAATGGGATCCTCACCTCAATGGGATCCTCACCTCAATGGGATCCTCGTCTCAATGGGATAGTTATCCCATCTTAGAGATTAACGTCATCTCCATCTCAACAAATCTCACTTTTTCTTAGGGGCCCACGGTCCTAACAGTGATTTACCCGCAACCCCGGTTCGACCTGGGTACGACCTTCTCTTTTCTTTTTGGCATTTTTCTTTTCAGCCTCTCAATACCTCTCTTTCGACTTGTTTTCGGAAATCTTCCCGAGTGGGCAAACATCTCCAGCGTCCTACATCTCGTCTACGGTGGTGCTATTAAACACGCTTAGATTGAGAATGGCGAAGTCATCGTGCAGTTTGTTGAGCAAGATGACTGTGTCAAATACTATAAGAACCACTCCGAGGGCATCAAGCTGAATGGTGATGACGACCTCACTATTTCTGTCACTATGCCCGAAGAGCGCCTGCAGGAAAATGCCGACCTTCCGAAGCGTGTCGAAGAGGGTGCGATCGAACGCGCTTAGAGCGAGAGTGGCGAAGTCATCGTGTATTTTGTTGAACAAGATGACCGCGTCAAACACTATGAAAACCGCTCCGAAGACATCAAGCTAAAGGATGGTGACGATGAGCTCACCATTTCTGTCACTATGCCCGAAGAGGGCCTGCAGGACAATTTCGACAACAATGGGAACGTTAGAACAGCTCAAGGCCTTTCACGTTTCTGAAAAGATCTGATAGGAACCTACACTCTCGAGTCTATCTGACCATGTGCCCCATGTGCTAAACCCCAATAACAGAGTTTTCTTCCCACAAAAATTCTCTATATGCGTCCTGCATATCTTGCATCTCTGCATCTCTCTCTGCATCTTCATGCATCCTTAATTTCATCTTCATTATCACCTTTTCCAACAGCCGTTGCCCTTCTGCCTGGTAGAAGTCCTTACTCGTTTCGAGAAAGGCTGGTTCAAACTCAGTTAGATAAAGCTTTAAGCTCTCCTCCTCTGTAGCAGTTTCGTAGAGGCTCCTCCCTCCTAGCCCCGTGGATAAGAGGGTCCAACGGAGATGGCGCGAAGTTGTTGGCGGGGAGATAGACCTCCTCTGTAGTAGTTTCGTGGAAGCCCTTTAGCATTTGGATGCAATGCTGAATGAGCGGCCGCTTAATAATGTGCCCAGAACGTTCTAGTTGGATCATAAAGAGTATGGTGGATTCGAGTATATCTATAACAGTTAAAGAAGAGCCGGCACGGACGGGAGCTCGTAGGATATGGTCTTGGAATAGAGGCCATATAGATAGGTGAGTGAGTACGGCTTGCTACCATACGGTCCTACGCAAGAAATTAGAGCATTATAACAATACCTTAGAGCGTAAGAAACTCACCATGTACATCAGAACATCGGTAACCATGCCCATGCCCAATTGATGATCTTCCCAAGCATCCTTCAGGACAGTGAGGAACTTCTCGATGCGAAAGACATGGAAGATCTTGACTTACAGCTTCAGCTTCTCTTCTTTTCCTTTCACCTTTTTCCTTACGCTTTCTTGCAAGTTTGGAAGATATCGTGATGGTGGGTCCTCTCACGCGGTGGAGCTTGGCGTTCCCGGGGAGAAGCTGACCAGCGGCGGCGGCGGCGATTTAACTCGAAAGCCGTATCAAGCCCTCCCGTGATAAACCGCAAGTAATCTCGGCGGTGGCATCAAATCGTGCCAACATGGTTGAGCACGTGCATTTTTAGTATTAATTTCAGTCAATGATGATGAGAGGACTGTCCATATAGAATCGAAATCTTCGGTATTGGCATAGGAGACTCCCTACAAGTATAGTTAGTGGATAGCTTCGTAGTTTTGACCCCGCGGTGTCAACGAACCCTTCGGGGAGCTCGAATCTTATGACGAGCCCTCATTACTACTATCTTAACGGCCATAGTAAACCAAGAGAAAGTGAGTAAATAGAAAACTCAAGAGAAAAAAAAAGGTGAAGGAGAACTGCGCTCTTCTCTCCGCATTTTTCATCGACATTGGCGTTCCTAGCATCTGGGAATATCTTCATCTCTTCAAAGGGATCCTTATCTTGATGGGATACTCACCTCAATAGGATCCTCGTCTCAATAGGATCGCCTGGTAGAAGTCCTTACTCGTTTCGAGAAAGGCTGGTTCAAACTCAGTTAGATAAAGCTTTGAGCTCTCCTCCTCTATAGCAGTTTCGTAGAGGCTCCTCCCTCCCAGCCCCGTTAACAAGAGGGTCTAACGGAGATGGCGCGAAGTTGTTGGCGGGGAGATAGACCTCCTCTATAGCAGTTTCGTGGAGACCCTTCAGCATTTAGATGCAATGCCGAATGAGCGGCCGCTCAATAATGTGCCCAGAACGTTCCAGTTGGATTATAAAGAGTATGGTGGATTCGAGCACATCTATAGCAGTCAAAGAAGAGCCGGCACGGACGGGAGCTCGTAGGATATGGTCTTGGAATAGAGCCATGTAGGCCACGTCGATGGGTGGGTGAGTACGGCTTGCTACCATACGGTCCTGCGTAAGAAGTTAGAGCATTATAACAATATCTTAGAGCGTAAGAAACTCACCATATACATCAGAACATCGGTAACCATGCCCATACCCAATTGATGATCTTCCCAAGCATCCTTTAGGACAGTGAGGAACTGCTCACCCGCCTCCCCATCTCACTCGACTGGTCCTGCGTATTGGCGGATTTTTGGCACGCACGAGGCTCGAAGAAATTGAATCGACAATGAGTGTTCGGACGTTCGTTTTCAGCCAGTCCTGCTCCAGTTGTTTGACTTGCTCGTAAAGATCAGGTGCCCGCATCATCAACACGATCTTGTAGGCATGCCGGTAGATCTCTTCGAATGCCAGGGTTGAGTGCAATTTCAAGACGGCGTAAACGAAGTACGCTGGCACCAAATATTTGCCGGTGGGCCCTGCGCTGTTGCCGGAGCGAGCCAGCCCACGGCGGGAGGGGCCTGAGGGGGTATTCTCAGGCAGGCTCGTTGGAACCAATCCAGCTTAGAACTCATAGATTGGGAGACCCCCCGGGGGTGGGGAACTTGTCGACCAGAGAGAAGAGAGAGAGAGAGAAGAAAGAAAAAGAAAGTGAAGGGGGGAGAGACCCTGTGTCCCAAAACAGAAGGCACTACACAAATGGAAGGAACGACATAGCTCTGACCGATGTTGTGTATCAACAGTAGTCTTCTTCTTAATACTATTTGGCGGTCACACGATTTTCCAGGTAAATTATGTATTCAACAGATCTCACTTTACAATTTCTGATATATGGTTAGTGTACTTGTAGTACGGAGGTGTGGTGAACGACTTTTGATCTTACTGGTCAGCAAGTCCCCTCCCGGGTGGGGCTGGGCACGGACCCACTCTCAAGTGGGTAATGCCATTGAATTCATAGGTATGCAAGTAGTCTTCTTCTGTAACCATCGATTCAATCAGAATTTCATCAATCTGCTGAGTGTTTTCATATGATTCTTGCTTGTGGTTGATCATACTAACAAGGTTTCAAAGCTTCAGTTCCTTACATATAATGTCTCGTTCGTTACGCACCCCACCCATCCCCCCCCGGTCCGCCGGGGGGGGGGATCAATTACTATACTGGTGAAGTGGAGGAGGAGGAGGAGGAGGAGGAGGAGGAGGAGGAGATCAGAGAGAAGGAGAGGAGGAACGGTATGGCTCGATCTGGTGAATTTGACTCTGAAATCAATGTGGGTAACCACGGCGATTATAAAGGTCATGACCTGGAGTGGAGGGGAGGGGTTCTGGGAAGTCTGATTCTGAAGTCAATGTGGGAAACCACGGCGATGATAAAGGTTATGACCCAGAGAATAGGATTCTGGTATGTATGTGATTCTGAAGTCAATGTGGGAAACCACGGCGATGATAAAGGTCATGACCCAGAGTGGAGGGAGGAATACAGGGAAGAGCGGCATAGGTGGATCAGGAATCAATGTGGGCAATCACAGCGATGAAGATAACGATGAGTCGAGTATTGGCATTGTTGACTCTGTCTGAACCTGTCAGATTTCTCTCAGTTTGGAACTTAGCTTTCTCAACTCTCTCAATGAATCTATCATTCTCACACTCCACCATGAATCTTTTTATCATACCACGGCATGATCCTAGTGGTTTTTATACTATTGCAATGGCATATCGTGTCTTTCTTATTATAGATCCTGTTCTATCTGTATATATTAATACATTCGGGATGTTATCATAAATGGTTCTAACATACCCCACGATTTATCGTGCTCTTATTATAGATCAGCTATCCAAGACTGTATAGGAAGCTAGCGAGTCAATTCGCTAGCAAGTAGGACTGCTTTTCTTAGCTTACGTTGAATAATGATTGCTTCACTTAACTACAATTTCCATAAAATCAGTCGAAAGAACGTTATGAAACATGGCGACTGCCAGCTTATCGAACCTGCCGAAGATCCAAAATTATGATCAATGGGGTATAAAGAACATAAGGTAACTTTATTTTATTATCGGTTTATATATTTCGATTGGGTGAAAGTAAGAGAAATTTGGCTAAGCTGCATCTAGGCACATGGTCGTGCTTGGAAGATACATCTAGTAGAAACTAAGATGACATATCAACAAAAAGATACTTATTCTATGTCTATACAGAGAAACGATCTGCGCTATAGAAGAATAAATCAATTTGAGAACATCATTTTATAAATACATCGACTCTGTACAAAGCTCCAACGATTTGCATTGGTATACACTATGTGCCTCGAAAGAATGTAAACAAGAGTAATACATGGTAGATGGTCAAGAACATACCTTACACCATGTGATAGGATTATTGGGCACCGACTCGTCCTCCCGGGATTCTTGTTGACCCGCTTTTCTCCAATAAGGTGGACGGGGCGATCCCCGGTGGGCTAAATTCGCCGCTTTCATCTATACCGATGAGAGCTTGCACATTCACGCGCTGCATTTTGCCCAATTTCTGTAGGAAGATAATCTTTTAGCTGTTGCATTCTTTCTGCGGGTTAGAGGATGAAGGGATAGGACAAACCGTACTAAGCATGAGCTGTGCATCCTGTAAATCGGCCATTTTGAAAATGGACACGAGGAGGGAGGTTGTTTGTCTCCAAGTTTACATGCTTCTGGATTATTGGTACAGATAATGTTTTTGGATTGCTTGCATTGTGAGGTTTGATTGATCTGTGTACATCACGGCAGTCTCTGATCGCGAGTGCGTCATAACTGATTTTCTCATAGTACATGAGTAATCAAATGTTATATTGAGGAGGGAGAGAAAATATCTATGAAAATAGACTTCTGAAGAGACCGAATGAGAAGAATCTTGAAAGATCCTCAAATATGAATGTCAGGAGAGGACTACGTCGAAGTGCATGGTGCAATGTGAGATATATTGAGTAGAGAGTTGTAGAAGCTAGGTTCTACAGAGCTATGAAATCTGACAAAGAACACTAAAAAAGGCATTTAAAAAGAGATTTGAGAAGACTGCTAAAAAGGACTTGACGAGGCCGTAAAAGCGGCCGACTATTTTTGTGTATAAAATACTCAAATACAAAGTGTACTGCAGGCAAAATCAGGTATGGCGCACTGGCGGTTAGAGACTGCCGTACTAGTAGTGTACATGTCCACGGGTATATGCAGTACCGTATCGAACAAGCTCTTCAATGCACCTTCCCTGTGTTGTATACCTCCACCTTTTCATTCCTCTCTCCCCATCTTTAATTTGAAATGACTACATTTTTCCTTCCAATACTACACCTACGAAGAGAGAAGTGGGAGGAGGTGGGTGAGCACCAATGGTAATCTGCCGGCATCGAATTTCCCTACTTCAAACCTCGACTTGACGAAGGGAATAGCTAGTGCGAGGAAGGAATCCAAGGAGCACACTCCTGAAAGGTGACATTAAGAAGTAAGTATCACGGCTGAAAGTGTCCACTCACCAATACTAATTTGACTCAGAGCTCAACCTTAAGGTACCAATAGTGACAATCATGGTCGGGGCCCCAAAGAAACCGTTCAAGTCCATGATGTCCACAAATCAATCGTCTCCCTCTCGTTTCAAAAATGGCCTATCGGGGTCATTGGAGGACTCCAAAAAGCACGCTCTTAAAAGGCGAATCAAGAAGTAAGTAAAATGGCTGGAATTCATTTTTTACCACTACTAAGTTCATTCGAAATTCAAGGACCAACAGTGACGATCATGGTCGGGCCCTCAAAGGAGCCTTTCCATGTTCATGAATCAACAATCTGCACCTCCTCACTGTTTTTTTCAAAAAGGCCATGTCTGGGTCGTGGAAGGAATCCGAAGAACACACTCTCGAACAGTTCGAAAAACTCTGGACCAACCAGAAGTTCGGCGTCAGTGGTCGCGGTACTTTCTTAGGGGTGAAATGAACCCCATCCATCGCGATATCCTAGATGGCCGTGACATTGTGAGGAACACATCACCGCTTTCTACACCTACGAGGGGAGAAATGGATTAGCATCAGCTGACACCCCTCCCCAATGTCAGGGGTCGCATTTGTCCAGGTGTGCGCCCTGAAGCTCATCGGGACGGACAAGAGTTGCAGTTGTTCGGCCAAACCTCAACCCTCGATGAATCTATGCTGGTATGGCATATGCCTGGCAATCATCGCCTACGTGACATGAACAGAAGAGTAGGAAGTGTAAGTTTCTATGGGCTTTCCAAGGCTACACCCAGACGAGTTACTAACATTTAATTCTTTATCTAGCCCTTCCATCGTTGACCACAAGAAGGCCATTACCCGATCATCTATAACTACCGCAAACTATCCCTTTCCGGAGCGGTGCGCCTAAATGTATGTTTGCTTTAATATCAACGTCTGATACTCAGTGATCGAGAAATAACCTGTGGGGCTTGATATATTTTGACCAGTCAGTTGACAGCCAATATAATCCATTGGGAATCCCTTCCCCCCGGCGAAATTCAGAACCACCGCAGAATCCGAGCAAAATCAGAGATCAGTAGGTGCTACAAGCACCGCAGCACGACCTCAAAGGCGCCCAGGATAGGGTGAAACCCCAAAAAAAATCAATTTCCATTCAATCATCCACCACACCTCCTTCATCTTTCATCCATCGTCCATCAACCGCCGACCATATCGTCGAGACTCAATTCATTTTCAACCATCCATCACATCTACATACATCTACGTCCTCAACCGTCTACCATGTATCACCATCCCGCAGCAGAGCAAAACCGCCATAACCCCCTGGGTCTTCCCATTTACGAATGTTGGTTCTGCCCAACAAGCTTGATCGGTTTCTCAGGCCTGTTCTTTCACCTCTTATCCATTTCTCGTCACTTGGTCCTATGTCTTTTAGTCAATTCATTTCATGTCGCAGGGAAGACAGGTGGGATGGGTCCCAAGCCGATTCACAATTTACGAATGTGGCACTTATGACTGGAAGTTCCGCTACCAAGAGGATTGCGACTCCCACATGGACTACTACAACCATTGGGTGGAATGGGAGACCTATCCTCGACAGTTTCGCACTGAGTGGATCTGCTAGGAGCAAATAGATGCGCTTGGCCACTAGGCACCGGTCATCGAATGCGAGACTTGCCCTCGCACCTTCTTTTCCCAGTCTGCCGCCAATCAGCATATGAATGCCAAGAATCATTGGGAGCCGACTGTTCCCTGCGAGACGTGCTTGGAATTGTTCCACACCGAGGAAGCTGCCGACCAGCACATGGAGGCCATGGGACATTAATCCTATGAATATGGGCTTTTTTTTGTATGAAGAGATCAGACAGTTTTACAATTTCATTTCTAGTACTTTACTATAGAACAGCTTTGCGGAAGATCCTTCTATTTTATTACATGCAGCGTATTTCTGTCAGATTCTATAGTCAAAACTTGCCTAGCTTTATTAACTCCCCAATCCATATCTCACATTGCACCACGTACTTCGACGTAGCCCTCTTCTGCCATGTTGTAAGCCCTCGGAGGCTCTATTCAACCTTCCTCTATACGCCCCACAGGCCTTTCTCTTCGAGGTCATTGTCCTCATCCAAGTGCCTCTCTCTTCGAAGAGCCATCCTCAGCATCGTCATCGTCACCGGCGTCTTACCTTATCTACGACACGCTATCCGGCCAGGCCACATACCCCCACACACCTACACACGGTCTCAATATACCCTAATCGAGAGTTACTCACACGGAGTTACCTCACGACCCGCCAACGATTCGGTCAGTACCTCTCTATTCGACGCATCATGAGACATAACAGGTAGAGAAATGAGAGATCTTGACTTACAGCTTCAGCTTCTTCTCTGTCCCTCCCTACGTATTCCTCCGTCACATCGAAGTCGGTTGCCTAACGTGAGTGTTCGATGGCCGAAGCGGTCACCTTTTTACTGGTGACAACTAGCTTATCCACCGGTAGATAGGTAATGTCCCGGGCTGCACCCCGACATAGGTCATGAGTGGTGATTGACTCTACAACCCCCATAGGTTTTCCTATTGACTTGAGGAAATGATTGATCATCTGAGGCTTAGCGGGCTGGTCGAGATACGGGCGATGGTGGTTAAAAAAGCATACCAATAGCAGTTAGGGGTACCGAAATACCACCCGTCGGTTATAGCGACGTTTTATGTTCTTAAGTAACTCTCCAATGGTTGTATCAAGCTGAATGGTCAGAAACGTAAAGATTAGAGGTTTAAGAGGAGGTCTTTTTTGAAGAAGAGACGTGTGAATGTATAGATTTTAAGGGATTTGTGCAGAGAAGAGCCAGGGACCACTAGAGAAGGCACTTTACTTCCTTAACAAGTTTATTTACTATGTTATGTGAAACTGCTACCTGCACATATAATACATGTAGGTAGGTAGTAGAACTATCTTGGGATGGATCATTCCTGACACACCATAAGTGCCTCTCCTACGACACATCTCACCTTCTCCGCATTCTTCACATGGCTCACTCGGGCATAATTCAGACAATCTTAAAAAATCAGGCATGCGACGTCTACTATCTTCGTACGCGGGCAGGCCATGGTTGAAGGAATGACCCCGTAAGATCAAAAGTCGTTCACCACATCATACTACAAGTACACTAGCCATACATCAGAAATTTGAAAGTGAGATCTGTTGAATACATAATTTACCTGGAAAATCGTGTGACCGCCAAATAGGACTAAGAAGAAGACTACTGTTGATACCGCGTTTCTGCTTTAGGTTGATAGGACCTGCCTACTTTGTAGATTGACCTTCATTCCCCTCTCTCTTACCTAGCTAACTCAATACAACACATGGCCACCTTTCCCATTAACTATAAACATGGACTTCTTCTCCTTATTCGACCCTCGCTAGATAGTGACATGCGGTTTTTACTGCAACCGACTCACAGACGAAAACCCGTTCTTAATTCTTTCAGGTCTCTTACCTGTGCCATCATGTCGAAAACAGCCCTTCCTGCTCAGGCCGCTCAGCTGGTCGAGCGGTTCCCAGTGTGCTGTGGAAGCAACATTCTCAAATTATCCACATCGGGAGGAGGCAAGCTATAGAGTGACTTGTTTCAACGCCAGCCTCACTCGCGAGGGCCCAGGTGCCAATGTCATTATCCCCGGCCTACGTTTCTGTCGTAACGACTTCCGCTACCCCCAGCACCCAGGCGTGGGTCCATACGCCACCCATTCCAGGACGCGATAAAAAGAAAAGGCCAACTGTTACGATAGAAGCTGGCGCGTTACAGTCACTCGGAAAACTAGAAGCCGATGCGGCATGGTGACTCGCAAACTCGAAGGGACAAAAATCAATTCACCTTCAATCATCCACCACACCTCCTTTATCCATCGACCATCGACCGTCGACCATATCGTCAGTCGATACTCAATTCACTTTCAATCATATACCACACCTACGTCCATCTACATCCTCAACCGACCGACATGTACCACTACCCTGTGGCTGGACAAAACCGCAACAACCCCCTGGGTCTTCCAATATACGAATGTTGGTTCTGCCCAACAAGCTGGATTGGCTTCTTAGGCCTGTTCTTCCACCTCGGAGAAGGTCGCTGTGTGAAGCGTGACCGCATTCGCACCATCGCATTCGAAACTCCTGAATATGGGTTTTACGGCAACAGTCTCACCGACGAAAACCCATTCTTACCCCCACTAGCCCGGTCGCCTAAGCCCTAAATAAGAAGAAGGAGAAAAACATCGCCGTGATGAATACTTGAACTTTTATGGCCGACCTTGGCAAGAAAGCTTTCGAGCTAGACCGCTGATCTGCATCTCCGCGCCGCGTTCAACCAGCAAGACTAGCACAGTCACACCGTACTCCTATCTCACGAATAGGGTTGCTCGTGCTCTTTTCCCTTCTACGCCGAAACAAATTTACGACCGACGAGACACGAAGAACATCAAATGCTTTGGGCAGCTTGCACAACATCGATCTGCTTCTTCTCAAATGACACCCAACCTTTTGTATCCATTTCTCGTCACTCAGTTCTATATCTTCTAGTCAAGATGTACGAATGTGGCACCTGTGACTTCAAGTTCCGCTACCAAGGGGAGTGCGACTCCCATATGGACTATTACGACCATTGGGTGGAATGTGAGACCTATCCTCCCGAGGTCGACAGTTTCGCACTGAGCGGAGCGGAGCGGGGCCTTCCGCTAATACGCCATCCTAGCTCGGTGTGCCGCTGCTAAGCCCCTCTTCAAGTTACATCGGGGTACAGTTACCTTCTCCTCAATCGCCGGCGAAGTCGCTGCTTTGAAAAAAAAAAAAAAAGGAAAGAAAAAAGAAATGATGACACCAAGGACCTTGAACGTTAAAGTCATTGGACCTAACGGTCTTGCTCCGCTTACTCTCCAACAACAGGCGGATTTTCGCATTACGACTCAGGTCATTTACGACGTCATTAGTAACGCCAAGACCCGAACCTGTTCGTGTACGACCTGCCGGCATGATGCAGGATGTAAGATGCAAGATGCAGATCTGGCGGTCCTGGTGATACAGGGACCAGGTGACTCGGGGAAGCCAATGTGAGATAAGAAGTGAGAGAAAGGAGTGAAAGGTGCATTACAGAGAAAAGGGGACACTCTGCACCCGCGGGGAATGCGGGAGATCATCTACGGATGAATTGACTTTCTTTACAATTTCTTTTGACTTGTTTGCATTGCCGGCCGGTTTGTGGCCTTACAATTCAGATTGCAGCACCTCGAGGGATCGAGTCCTACATACAGGGTGGTTGTATACTGGGGATGCACCACCATTTCGTCGTCGAAGAGCAGGCTCTGGAACGCTATCCCCGCATAGCAGCATGTATGTAATAGCGAGCTACATCGGGTTAATGAGAACATCATCATCATCATCATCATCATCATCCCCCGTGTGTCACAACCTTCCTTTTTTAGTTTGTTGACCTAGGGGGGCCCTTCCGTCTACCCCATCTTCATCAATCAATACAAGGTAAGGGAACCTTCTTTATTTTGTGCGCACTCCCGGTTTCGGGCCTCTAACCAGTAGTCTCAGAGCAGTGAAAGCGAACCGGGCTCATAACTGTGGGAAAAATACAGCCACTTTTCCACTAGACCATAACAAAAACCATGATTCCTGTTTAGGGCCTAGGGAGGCCATATCCCATTTCGACAGTAACGCCAACATGATAAGCCTGGAGGAGAGTGCCCATGCTCCTACTGCCGTCCGTAATAAGGCTTGTGCGGACCGTCTTGCTAGGGTGCAGACAATGTCAGCCCGTCTGAATGCTCATCGCTTCACCAAGCTGGAGACGAATGAGCCCAAGCTCCATGATGCCTCCAAGAATATTGAGAAGGTATGTCACACCCTTCCCCTCATCCACACTCCCACCCACCCTTCCTAGTACATTTTCATCTACTTCTTTCTTTGACTCGTTCCTATTTTCTGTTTTTGTTTCTTTTTTTGTTCATTGGTCTCTTCAATACCTATCCTCGACAGTTTTGCACTGAGCGGAGCGGAGCGGGGCCTTCCGCTAATACGCCATCCTAGCTCGCTCCAGCACTAGCGCCCCCTCCAATCTTCACACATCCCGTTGTCTACTATAATCTGCATCCATCATTCATTGCAATTGACGAGGCAGCAATGATAAGGGAGACCGATTTGCTTTCGGCACTGTGATCGGGGTACAGTTACCTCCTCCTCAATCGCCGGCGAAGTCGCCGCTTTGAAAAAAAAAAAAAAAAGGAAAGAAAAAAGAAATGATGACACAAGGACCTTGAACGTTAAAGTCATTGGACCTAACCGTCTTGTTCCGCTTACTCTCCAACAACAGGCAGATTTTCGCATTACGACTCAGGTTATTTACGACGTCATTAGTAACGCCAACATGATAACCCTGGAGGAGAGTGCGCATGCTGCCACTGCCGTCCGTAACAAGGCTCGTGCGGACCGTCTTGCTAGGGTGCAGACAGTGTCAGCCCGTCTGAACGCTCGTCGCTTCACTAAGTTAGAGATGAATGAGCCCAAGCTCTATGATGCCTCTAAGAATATTGAGAAGGCTATGGAGCTCGAGAAGGTATGTTACACCCTTCCCCTTATCCACACTCTACCCACACCTTGACTCTTCCCACCACATGTTCACCTTCTTCTTTCTTTGACTCGCTTCTATTCTTTATTCTTGTTTCTTTTTTTGTTCACGAGTCCCTATAAGTCGCGTCACTCTCGAGAATAACACTCATCGCTCTTCATTACTCCTGTCTCACACTGATCTTTCATAGGACAAGAAAGTGGTCGCTTCTCTTTCCACTACCTCGGGTGCACCCCCTACCACCACTAGGCTCCCGGTCGAGAAGACTCCTAGGCCGCCGACTTCCACCAGCCCGGTGAGGAGGAATGGTATGGCTCGATCTGGTGAATTTGATTATGAAATCAATGTGAGCAGAATGCGAGACTTGCAGTCGCACCTTCTTTTCCCAAGCGCCAACCAGCATATGGATGCGAGGAATCACTGGAAGCCGGCTGTTCCCTGTGAGACTTGCTTGGAATTGTTCCACACTGAGGAAGCTGCCGACCCGCACATGGAGGCCATAGGACATTACGAAAACTACTGCGTGGAATGCGATCGACGCTTCTTAAGTGAGAACTGTCTCCGCCAGACACGAGAAACAAGAAAGACAGACCGCGCATGGAATGGCTACCTCGGACAAGGAAGATCCACTCTGTTATAAGAGCGGTTTAGTATCCGGTCTGTCACTTGCATATCTGATCGTCGTTCTGATGTCTATCGGTTGCTAGGTGCGGGAGACTCAAGATTGTCTTTGATTTCTTAGCCATCTCATTTTGAATTGCCTGCTTAAGACCTCTTCAAATTGACTTATTGCTTTTTCTCAGCTCTTTGGCGAACTTGGAAATAAACGTGACAAATCGAATTACCCGCAACCCCGGTTCGTCCCGGGTAGGACCTTTTTTTCCTGGGAGTCTTCTCGACTGGGAGCCTGGTGGTGATAGGGGGCGCCCCAGAATGCATACCAAAGACACTAGTGTCACCAGATGGGTTTACCAGTATATCTTGCGGGAGGACGTTCATAACACTTAGTGACACTTGGCTAAGTCCCTATATAATTAATAGAAAGAGCAAATATAAAACTTTTCCTGTACTACTACTAACTTAACTTAGAAATCAAGGACTAATAGTGACGATTATAGTCAGGCCCCTAAGGGATCCTTTCTATCTTCATTAATCAACAATCTGCACCTCTTCAAATTTTTTTAAAAGGGGCCATATCTAGGTCGTAAAAGAAATCTAAAGAACACACTCTCGAATTCTCCGAAGATGACCACTAGATATTTGCTCTATATTCACACTGGCTTTACGTTGCCAAAATCCCTGTGACTGTCGAAGTTATCGAAGGCGTAACAAATGAAGAATCAGAAAAGAACCGTGCCTAGGAGTATTCTGATCTCTTCAAGGCATATGTGTTTGGTGACAAGTTGCTCGATGCTTGCGATGTTTTGAGTGGAGATATTGTGGCTATAGAGGAGACTACTTCTCTCAAAGAACAAATCCTTGGAAACGGGAAATCCCTGAAGATGACCCCAGATATTCGCTCTATATTCACACTGGCTTTACGTTGCCAAAGTCCCTGTGATTGTCGAAGTTCTCGAAGGCGCAACAAAGAAAGAATCAGAAAAAAATCGTGCCCAGGATGACGGACTGAACTACTAATTGATCTAAGCCTCGCGACCCTTAGGGGAAGGCCAAAGCACTGCACGGGATCTTCCGATTTTACGAAGATAGCGATGGACCGCTGTATTTCCGTGATGTCAATCTCCACGAAGCTTGCGATGTTTTGAGTGGAGATATTGTGGCCACATAGGAGACTCCTTCTCTCAAAGAAAAAATCCTTGGAAAGCCGAAATCCCGGACAATTGATATCCTCCTCCCATCCGATTCTGGTATTCACACTGGCTTTACGTTGCCAAAACCCCTAGAATCAGAAAAGAACCGTGCCCAGGAGTATTCTAATCTCTTCAAGGCATATGTGCTTGGTGACAAGTTGCTCGATGCTAAGTTTCAAAATTCGGTGATCGACGCATGTACCACGAAAGACTTCGAAATGGAGGAAGACTCGAACTGACCCGAAGAGGCTCCCGGAAGATGACTCCCATATATTTGCTCTATATTCACACTGGCTTTACGTTGCCAACACCCCTGTGATTATCAAAGCTATCGAAGGTGCAATAAAGGAAGAATCAGAAAAGTACCGTGCCTAGGATGACGGACTGAACTACCAATTGATCTAAGCCTCGCGACCCTTAGAGGCTCCCGCAAGATGACCCCCAGTTATTTGCTCTATGGCTTCCCACATCACTCTTAGTACTCTGGATAGAAGAGTACAAAGAGCTTACAGCAACTTCTAAAATAATGGAAGCTCAATCAAGATCAGGATCGACATAAATCCCACGACAACCCCCCCCAAAGAAGTAGCCAACTATTTTGGCCTCATTCTTGACTTGATTGCAATTCAGCGATCGCCAAAATCTGAACTTTCCTAGAAAAGGACGACCTTACAATAATAACAGTGCATGTTCAAGCAAGTTCATTCCAGCAAAATTTGGGTGGAATTTCCGACCAAATGCCAACAGACATCCCAACAACCAAAACATTGAGTTCCGAGGGGTCACGGAAGCAGACGCTATCAATCGACAGCTAGTCTACTCTACCAGACAGATCTCTAAGGCCAAAGGTCCTATGGTCTATCTCTCCGCCAACAACTTCGCGCCATCTCCGTTGGACCCTCTTGTCGACGGGGCTGGGAGGGAGGAGCCTGGGACTGTTGTCTACCGGGGTGGTGGTAGGAGGGGCGCGGCGGGGTCCTTAAGGTTATATATAGAAAAGTCGTCTATATAAAATGTGCTTTTTTCCCGCCTTTTTCAGTGGTCTAACTAACAAACTAAGAAGGGGAAGATAATATCTATACAAACAGACATCCAAAAAGAAAACGATCACCCAAAAAGGCTACTAAAAACAGACATCTAAAAGACTACTAAAAAAAAAGACTTGACACGGCCGCAAGCGGCCAGCTATTCATATAGGAGCTATTCTGATGATCAAAAAGTTGTTCACCTTTAAAACTCCTTTTTTGAAGGTAATATTTGTCCCTTACGTAACGTGACCCTTGCAATTCTTGTGTCTTTTTTTTTTTTTTGAAAAAAAGGATTTCGGTAAATCAAAAATAATACTAACCTTAGATGGTGTAAGGTATCTTTTAAAGCATCATCACAGCATTCACTAAATTCAATCTGGAGGCAACTGAAGCAGATACAGTGACACCACTTTAACACCCCGTTACCGCCTTTTTAGGGCTCTAGAAAGAGAGAGAAGGACCTTTTATCTACACATCTACACTACGCCTGAGGTAAAAGAGAATAAGACAGAAATTAGCACCGGTGGTTGGCTATAGTTTACTACGTATAAAAAACCTGTAAATAATTTAGATAACTCAGCAAAATTATCGATATATAGGCGATTTTTGTAAGGCTTGATGTTTAGCGGGATGTTCCGTGAACAAAATTTCCCATGCGAAGCATTGTTTTCTACTGTAGATATGGAGTAGATTGGTCATTGACAGAAACCCCTAGGTATACCTGCATGTAGGTACTAATGAGGAGTGTGATCAAAACAGGAGACAAACAAGACAGACGATGTAAGAAATAGGTATCTTGAAATATATATTGACTGGTTTGGCTTAATCGGCCCAGTCAAAGGGACTGGATGGTTTTGTCAACCACACATCCTTAGGACCTTCAGCTTTTAGGCCGGTCGAACAGGGTGCCATTCAAAAAGAATTGTGTAGATAGATATCAAGAGAAAGAGAGAGAAAGACGGTGCTGATTGAGTATGTATATTTTCTTGGTAGTCCTTATTGACCTCTATGCAGTCATCTACAAGATCGAAAACCCCAAGACCACAACACCACCAAACACTTAATAGCTTCTGACAGCTTTTGATGACGGCACAAGTCCCGGATCCAACAATCCAACCTGCACAAGCACACCGGCCTGATCCCAATAAAGACTCTGGCGTGTGATCTGGCCGGCACTGAAGCTTGCCACCACAACGATAATGACTTTGATCTCTCGATCCGTCGGTGAAACACCAGGTAACAGCCACGGAACCTCAGCAGTATGCCGACAAGCAAACAACATCTCATCCACGATTCGATCCGCACCCACAGTGCGCGACAAGAGGCGGATATGCTGATCAACCGGTCCAGTAGGAAAATACGCATGAGCGAAGAAATCCCTCAGGCTCGAGATATCAGAGCCTGTAACATCCATATCAGTAAATCACCGAACGGGATCGTAGAAAATAAAAGGGGAGAAAAAGGAACTCACCCCCAGCGTCGGTAGGAATACACTTCACAAAAACCTCACCAGCGGGACACCCCATCTCACCATAATGGCCATGACCAGTCAACATTTCCACCGCCGGGTCAGAAGCAGAAGCAGAAGCTTGATTCCGTTTCCGCATCTCCATCTCACCAATCACACGGTCCCAGTACTCTTCCCAAACAGTCTCGATATCAATAACAGCCCAGTGCCCCCCGACATTAAACGAGCGCCGCAGACACCCCAGCGCACGACTCCACGCCAACTGTGAGCTGATCTCGTCATCTGCGCTAAAGTCCACATCCACTTCGCCTTCTTTCTCTTCGGCGACTTCCCGCTCCGCGAACCCAGCCCTGGACCCTGGGTACGTGTACACGTAGCAACGGTGTTTTTTCTTGTATGTGACGTCGCCTTCTGCGGCACTGAGCTCGATCCATGGCCATAGCGCGCATGCCTGGACTCGTGGGCCTGGGATGTGGATTTGGATTGGGAGATATGTTGACTTGGACGATGGGCCAAAGATTGAGCCTGTGTCTGAGCAGCCTGGCGGCGAGCAGTTTTCTTTTTGCTTGTAGGTGAATTGGTCTGTTGAGGAGAGGGGGTAGTAGGTTATCAAGGCGCATAGGTGTGGGAATGGGTTTGTATGGCTGGATACTGTGTGGTGTAGGGATAGGAGGAGGTAGGCGGGTCGGTGGTATGCTGGGGTATATGGTTAGCTGGGCTTTCGATATATCTTGTAGGGCTGAGGGGTCTGCTTCGAATACTGAAGCATGTATATAGAGATAAAGAAAGTGCGAATGGAAGACGTACCGACTATCGCATATCGTTCTCCATTCTCGAGGTCGTCTTCTTTCTCGTGCACCGCATTCTTCAGCGCTTTTGCATCCTTTTCTTCATTTCCGCTGCCGAGGAAGGGGATATAGATCACATCAAATCCTTCTGCCTGGAAGCGGTGGACTACGTGGGTATCAAACTCCACTGTATCGGAGATGAGAAGTAAATGCCGGGGCGCTGGCTCTTCGTACCGCCAGCTACGTTTGCCGGAACTCGTGCTCACTGTTCGATGTATTCCGTGCGGATGGGATGCTGCGGAATTGGGGCCCGCAGTATCTGCGTCTAACTCGGGTGGGTTACTGTTGGAGCTTTGGGCTCGCCGTCGAGTGAGGCGTTGGAATATGTTGACCATGGTCTGAATGTGGTGGTTGAGCTGTAGATTGGGAATTTAACAGGACGTCTAGCCCTGTTTGTATGTGGAAATATCTGTTTCAGGTTTGGAAAGCTCGATTTGCTGCTCTTGGTATTACATATGCCGAGCCGCTGCCAATGCTTAGGGTTTCTTGTGACGTCGTTGATGTTACATTCCGCGAACAGCCGATATAAAACGACCGACTTAAGCAATTGGGCTTGATCTATTTTAAGGGGGGAAAATGAGGAAACCGGTAGCCCGAGGGCACCTTCGAGGAAAGGGGGCGAGATAAAAAAAAAAAAAAAAAAAAAAATAACAAATACATATACATATACAAATAAACAAAATCACAACGTCCTTGATAGTATCAAATTTTTTTTTTTTTTTTTTTTTTTTAATGCGGCGACTGCCCCGGAGCCGGGGAAGAAGACGCAGGCAGAGGGACAAGGAGGTAGTCGGGGCTTGGAGGAAGCTGGGCCATCTCAACGTCTCCTGCAGAGTAGGGAGGAGGGGGGGGGGGGGGTATATCCGCGGCGGGAGCATTTAGAATCGTTTAGAGCATGATCACAGAATGCACTAAATTCAGTGGAGGCAACTGAAGCAGATATAGTGACACCACAAATGTTTTAACACCCCGTTACCGCCTTTTTAAGTAGCTATACCGCCTCGATTTGCTATAACACCCGCTATCCTTAGTCTTTTATTAGTGGATATTTGTCCAGCGGAATAAGGGGTGTTAAAAATATTTGCTGTCACTGTAATTATGAACAGACAGATATGATTAAATTTTCAGGTCAGCCCCATGCCCCAGACAATCCGGAGTGGACACATTCAAACACTACCATTACAAAACATGGGCCCAGAATAAAAGCGAGACCTCCCTTTTTGTTTCAACATTATTTTTGGGGTTGTTAGAGCAGACAGGGAAAGTCAGTATGTCTTCAAACTATGTAGTGTTTGGAAGCACGAACAAGACAGATCCCGAGGGACGTCAAAGCGTAGGGTCATCGTGAAATCATGGTGAGAACCTGGAAATCGATAGTGTTAGAGGAGAGGATCTCATATACACCTGCATTTAGTGTGGATGATCGGTTACATACTCGATAGAGAAGCCACCTGCAAATCTGGTATCGATGATGACTATCTGCTCAAGAAGAAAAGAAAGGTAGAAGAGAGTGGAGAAAAGAAGGAATAAGTTTAAAGAATATTTACACCACAAACAAGCATCTTCGGGTTTATATAGTATTGTCAAACTTCTTGGTCTCTTAGCTTCTCAGCTTCTTCAACCATGCAATCAACCTCTCAGATCACCATGCATCTGGGCATGGTTCTCTGATGACAAGTATACCTATAATTCCTACTCCTATTTTCACGACTAAGAAGCCTTCGATCATATACCAGACAATGTTTACTTATAGTACCGTCCTATTATTCTAATCACTCTATATCAAATCCAAATCAGCCTGTTCCTATTAGGCAGTGCTTTCAAGGTCTATCCTTTGGATGATTTTCTCATATAATAAGTATGCTATAGCTAATAGCCCATGCCATCCTATGCCATCTACGATGCAGATATTTCTCGATTGCTCATCATTTCATAGGAAAGCTGGTTCTTTAAATTGGTTAGCTTAGGCCGCAATCACTGCCGACCCGCGCGACATTAAACCAGCGATATATAATGCGATATTGATTCTAATGGGATTTCCAACCTAGGGTATGTATACATATTTTAGATGGGCGATCCGTCTGAAGAAAATTTTGCGATCCGACTGTATAGTTCTACCGCACTAATCTCCGTACGACCCCTCGTGTATAATATATATAATATATATAACCCAACCAACACGAATGATAAAAGTCTACAGAATTAGTGATGAAAAAAGGCACTCCATTGACAATCTAAATTAGATTTTTAATCATTGTTATCAACGAGGTTGGTCAAGTCATATGTATTCTACAAGAGAGGCCGTAAAGCTAGCTACATATGCTGATTTTGATTGGCATTAGCGGTGTTACATGTAAGACCCCTCCGATGTGCCTTTTGGATGTTCTTTTTATTTGTATTTTTAAATGTCTTCCTAGATGTATACGAAGGCGGTAAAATGCATACTTTGTGCAGACGGGCTTTATAACCTTTGACAAAAGGAATTTTTTTTTTAAAAGGTCTTACCCGGGTTCGAACCGGCGTCGGTGATCAGGGAGAGGCATGTTTGTCGACGGGCAGATGTGGATTTTATTCGATTTTCAACAAATCCAATCAATATCCAACCTTTTATTTCCTTTCAAACAATTTCCCCTAGTTATAATAGGTAAGCCGGAAATGGTCTGGACAGGATAGGAATTAGGGTCCTTTTAGGGGTGCCAAAAGAAATCTCGGGTTCTGTAATGTAGTGGTGAGCATATGGGTTTTTGATTACGTAATAAAACCACGTGATTACCCAATACCCCGGTTCGAACCCGGGCAGGACCTTTATTTTTTTTGTCCAAATTGGAAGCAATGCGGCCCCGGTTCGAACCCGGTTCGAACCCGAGCCAGACCTTTCTCTTTTTTTCCCCCTCTTTTATATACAGTCAGTGTCAGTGGTAAAAGTAATTCCACGGAACAAACTAAGATCAGTCTGTTGAGAACATATCAGATGACCATCCACATTGCATCCTACGAATTCCAACTTCGTAACTTGAAGCTGATCGTGAAGCATAGTCACCAACTTCTGCCATGTGCCATCTGGTGTTGTATTAATACCAACGAGGGTCAAGACAATCTCTCTCAATGTGGTTTGATGGATGCCGAAAAGTAATATCAGGTCTTTTGAAAGGCAGTCAAGGCCGCCAAACCGTAAAGATCGAAGATTAGGTAGACTTAAGGCCTGACTGAGCGCCCGAAACCCGCTTTGGTGCAGACGTGGTTCGAAAGATAGATCAAGTATCTCTAAGCGTTGAAAGAGCAAGATGAAATCGGCGAGAGGCTTGGACCAAATATGTGGATCTTCGTTATAATCCGGACCCATCAAAAGCTGCAATGAGGTGAGTGTCGCAGCCCATGGTAGTTGGGTACGGTGAAGTTCAGGGAATGTGAGCACGCTTGGATTCATTGCTCGTCCAATCCCAGCATTCAATTCGAATGTCTTTATTGGAACCCCGCTGGCAGTCGCAGCGTCAATGATCACATGGGTTATCTGTTGAATATAAATCTTGCTGTATTCTTTTTCCATACTTGAGGTCGGGTAGACCCCCGTTACTCTTTCGAGAAATGCAGCGCCCCAGGGTTGATCGCGGTCACTAAGGGTCAAAGTTCGGCAATGAACCGCATTCGCTAGTATTTCTGATAAATATGTTGTGTCCAAGCCTGATTGTCGGAAGGAATTTTGTCGTATATAATATTCACGATAGCTCTTTTTATTGATTCTTGGAGGGTAGGCACTTCGCTCCGTCCAAGACATTGGAAGATAGGGCTCATCTGAAAGTCCATCCGGGGTCAAGTGATTGGTGGCAATGACCACAGAGCGTATCGAAAGACCGAAGATCGGATGATGCGATATATCGAGTAAATTCATAAGGCTGTGCCGGCTTAACATGTGGGTTCGCGTGCGGAAGTAGAGCTTGATGAAGAGGGCGAAGGTGCTGTTTCTCAGGTATAAATTACTTAGGCGAAAGTTGAAAAAATCTTTGCTTTCAAGATATTGAGCAACCATCGCAATTATTTCTGGACCAAGCTCATCAATAAGCTCTGGCATTTTGTTATGAAGGATGAAGGTATGTTGATGTGTCTCCCGACATTTGGAGCTTTTGTTTAAGACGTGGTTATATATGAATGCAAGATATTCACTAGCCACCCTCAGAGCAGGAGACAGTTAATTATGTAGGGTTCAATGTTCTTCCGTGTATAATCGTGAGGTCACTTCACGTGCCCCAACCATGGTTTATAAGTCGAGGTTCAACATATTTGGGCGCCCCCGCGGGGATACACCACGCTAGCTATATCAAGAAGTATAATAACCACGATTATTGGTTCAGCACACGCGATTTAGATGCGCTAGCATTTTAAGTATTTAACATTAATAGAGCAATAGGTATAGCCGTCTGAACGATTTAATTCAATTCCTTTTACGGATTTAGCTCTAAAAGCCGAGCCTCGTGAGCAGGCTAGTGCCTCGAGTTGACTTATTGATCGCCCTAGTAAGTGTAGCTTTGCTCCCGAGCTGCCTAAATTAGTCCTAAGACCCCGAGGTACTCACTTCATATGGAGAGCCCATGCTTCAAGTATCAACGTTATTAGTACCGGGGCCCTAACACAGCTACACCTATTACAGCCCCAATGAGCCCCGCAGCTCAACCAGTTTCTTGCTCACACCTCCAGCGCTAGCCAATGTTTTCCGGCTCGCCTCCTGAGCAATAGGAATGACATCCTCAATGCGCACAGAAGGATCCTTGGCCAAGCCAGCCACCACAACACCTAGCAGCGTATCACCCGCCGCATTGACACTGACAATGTCCTGGGCACCTAGAATAGTAGCGGGCGAGAACAGACGCATGTAGACACCACCAAAAGGCAAGTCCGATCCAGGAGACGCACGAGAAAGAATATACGGCGCAGACTCCGGATCCGTAAGACGGGGGTCACTAGGCGGCAGAAGCTGAGTGAGCAGAGCACCCGCACCACCGAGCTTGGTAACAATGCAGGGAATGAAAGGAAGCAACTGGACAGTCTGCTGCGGAAGGCCCTCGTCGACGAGAGACAGCGAAGTGAGTGCAATGAGGCGCTCGCGCGAGCCCGTCGGAGACATATTCATAGAATTAATGATATGCCACCATTCCGCAGACTCGAAAAGAAGGGATTCTCGCGCAGCGGTGTACATAGCCGCCAGCTCGAGGCGGTTCGGACACGCAAGACTGATAGCATTATCTGGAACGGTCTGATTGGGACCGATAGTCGCGCCGGTGCTGTTTGCATCGCTGCCGAACAGACGTCGGGATTTGGCTGTTGAAACGGGCTCGAAGGC